GGTTAAGAATTGTGTTTTCACTTTTGTATTTTGAAATACCCTCCAAGAATTCTTGGTTAGGTGGGATATAAAGTGTGTGGGTACACCTGCTAGGAGAGTAAAATACAAGGAGTCCTTGAAACATTCATGGAAGATGTGTATTTTGAAAAAAGAAAATGTATAGATTTCAAATATTTTTGCACCAAAAATAAACTCCAACTTTTATTTCTTTTTCCATAAACTTTCTGAAGTTCCTTAGTGGCATACATAACCTGGTGCGGGTTGGCTCCATCTACATGCCCCAATTAAAGAGGACTCCAGACAGCAATGACGAATCCTACTATGTGCTTCCTAGGCAGACAGGGCTCTGTAATCTTGTTTCCATGTGCCCCTGACAGTGCTTTAAGATATTTCCCTTTCTCTGAGAGACCGGGAATCTCAGTAAGGTAATAATGCATATTGATATTCAGGCCACATTTACATGGAGATGGGAAGGGAGGATGGAGGGGTGCGTTTGCTTAGTGGGCTAAGCAGTGCTTTTATTTGCTGCTTCATTAACATTCGGCAAAAGAAAAAAGGGAGGATTTTCCAGGAGTTTATCATGGAATGGTTATGTTATTGCTCTCTGGATAATGACTTTGGAAACCCAAGCTCAACTAGAAACTGGCTCTTACTCAAGAGGTTGAAATAAAGATAAGAATCATAACAATAATAATCAAAGTCATTAAGAGAGCACTTCATTGTATGCATTGCTTCAATTAATGTGTCATATTGAAAATGTAAGAGTTGGAAAGTAGGTATAACACCTTAAAGGCTAAAGAATCCATTTTTAGAAAAGAAATATTTTATTTAACTTTATTTATTTATTTTAATTTGACCAGAAAGGGATTGAGAGAGAGAGAGAAATTAGAAAGCAAGCTGCCAGGTCTGGGACTTGAACCACAGTCAGCCATGTGGGAATCTAGCACCCTTAACCAACATGCCACCTGACACCCCTAAAGGATTTGTTTTTTCTTTGCTAGAAATTGAACCATGTCAACCGTGGCATAAGGGGTGAATGGAACTAATGAGAATGAATATTTAGGGACCAGCAGATGGCATGGTGGTTAAGGCACTGGACTCCCACATGGCCAACTGTGATAATAATAATAATAATAAAATTAAATAAAGAATTCTATTTAATAAAAGAATGAATATTTATTCAAATGAGTAGTGTCTTCAGAAGTCTAGGATGTTTCTAATACTCCTTATCTCTAGCAATTTTATTGTCCCTTATCTAGGGAACACCAATTACACTGTCTTCACTGGTTTTTGTTTGTATATATTAAAATATATATCAGCCACTACTACTTTTAGATATTTAATTATCCTTGAATGTTCACAGATTCATGAATTGAGGGATCAATTCCCCAAATCATGCATTAGCAAAATTATACCTACATCTCAAAATGGTCTGCAAAAGCAGTGGCCCATCACTTTTTGTTGTTTAGGGCAATGGAAATCATGTATCTCTTCCACTAGGATCCTACCTGAAGGCGTTCAGATATGTTAGAAGATGGAGTAACTGAGCATCTGCAGAGAACAGTCTTACTTTAATAATTGGTGAAAACAGAGCTTCAACTCCGGTTCCTTTCAGATGCTATATAACATGGTTCATCAGGCTTCTGTCATTACTGGAATTCTTTTCTTAAAAAGATTTGTTTACTTTTTTCCACATATTGATTCAAACCCTGAGAGTAAATATGGGTGAATGTACCTTTCTAAACATTTTATCATGCTGTGAACTAAGGTCAACCTCTTTTTGGTCTGATTTATTCTGATTGGTTAATTGCTTATCTGTGGACATATTTTCATAAGATAATAAAAGGAATACATGAGGAATTTTCTAAATGAACCTCATGCTAACTTCAACAATGTATTTATTTTAGGAAACACTCCTCTTTGGTTCTTGTTTGTTGGAGGTAAGGCTGACAAGGTGGGATTCTACTTACAAAGTGTAGTTTGAATCTGTTTAGTTCCCTCCCCTTCTGAGCAGCCTTACCAGCTAATTCCTAACCTTTCAGGTAGCCTAGACAAAGGGCTTGCGGTGGAGTTCGCCGTTCTGACCTTTTGCTCAATTTGCCCCTCTTTCAGCAGACTTGGTGCTATTTTTAGAGAGATCACGGTTTGCAGTGTACTTGGACAGTCAAAATTGCATGTCATGGCTCATAGGAACTGCATGATCTATTTTGTTTTCTCCTCATACATTTCACACACTCCATCCCTCTCACAAGCACCTTCTCGTGTTCCAAAATGCTCAACTCCTTCTGCCTCCAGTAGTCACTCAGTACTCCTGTCTCGCCCCAACTGGCTTCTCATGCATTAGGTGGCAGCTAGTGAGACCTTTCCAGAGAAGTCTTTACTTCTTACTCTTGACGCCTGGGCACCCTCATCCTCATTATGTTTTGTCATTCATCACAATGTTTTTCCCTGTGTAATGCTCAGTACACAGGGCATACTTGGTTATTT